GTCTTACACTACATTGCCACTAATGTGAACATCCCTAAATTTGGAGTCAAGCACTTGCTACTACGTTTTTTCTTCTAGACAATTACAATGTTTTTGAGATGGTTTATGTAGATATTGAGACTAATATTTTTTTAAATAATTTTAAGAACATGCTATCATATTGACTCAGAGATGACTAATTTACTACCACTTGTGTGTATGCTTATGGGGTTCCGCTGACTGGCATTCTCCACTAATCCGATCTGAATCACATTTCCAACTGGGATCGACGTAAGAATTGTCTGGCATGCCTGTATGCTTATCCAGATTCTGTGTTTCTCTAACCTCTTGTGGACCATAAAATAAAAGACTCTCTGTAATGAAATGTTGCACCCATGTGGAAATGTAATCATCGCACAATATGGAAACTAAACTGTCAATGGGCATGACAATTTTTTTGATTTGTTTGAAAAGTATATGTGAAAGAACATGACATTTATACGTTTTATGTGATGAGATATTAATATAGTACCTTTTTTATTCATAAAAAATTGGTTGTATTAATACTTATCAACTTAAAAATTTTGATTTAAATCAAAATTAAAAATTTAAACTTCTAAAATATCGAACAATTAATTCTTTTTTTTTAATCTTAAATTATAATTTTTTTACATTTTTTATTATATTTTACTTATATATTATATGATTCAAATTCATATCCTTGTTTCTAAAAACAAAATTAACATTGAACTTTTTAAGTTGTCAGTGTTAAAGTTCTTTAGTGTACAAAAAACAAAAAAATGCAGTACTTTCATGTTTCATTGTAGAGATAGCAGGCCGGGCCGAACAAGATCCCTTGGGTATTGGAATGGACCAGACCAGGCCGGGACCAGGTAACGGTCTTAAATGTAGACCTGCCCGGGCCTAAGACCTATATAGTGGGCTAGTTCCAGGCTAGAATGTCCAAGAGCGGGACTAGGCCGGCGTAGAATTGGTCCAATACCCAACCACCACACACCCCCCCCCCCCCCAAAAAAAAAGGGCACCGCGCACAATACCAGAACAGAAAAGTGAATAAGAAATACCAGAATCTCAGGTGCCCATTTCCCTAAACAAATCCATGGTTTTATCCAGGTTCGAACCCACTTTGAAGCTGCTGTACTGGTCTGGAATTTGATGATGAAATACCGTGTTGATTTTGGTCATTGTAATGAGGCTTTGTGGCTCTTTTAAGCATGATTCTGTTGCGTTTCCTATAATAAACAGAGCAGTTTTTGGTGGCAAATGGCGTGTGCAGTCTTTGGAGAAATTGTTCATCACTTCACTCTGTTGGGATGGAATCGATTTTGGATTGGATTTATCTTTTGACAATAAATGATTGAGGCTTATATATAGTCATGTAAAATTGTTATGGAGTCTAAACTGCACAACTACAACAATTGGATGGAGGCAGCCTCTCCCGTCCAACTGTTTGTTTTACAGTCTGTCCTAAATAATGGAGGTGTTTAATGCAATGTTGGAGAGAGACTCGGTAATTTGTACATATATGATTTCTGCTTTTACATCGTTCAAGAAAATGAGGTTGAGCATGGAACCATATTCGGTGACTCTTAAGGGAGGCAAATGCATTGTTAGTCGAAGAGGGAAAGGATGCAATGCTCTTGTGAAGTCCTCCTAGATTCTGCAAATTTACGTGATACCCATTTCGTGAATCGTATAGAAGAGGAACGGAGAAAGGCAACTCGGAATCCGGGCAGATTATATGCGCTGGGTTCGGCGTTTGATTCGAAATCAGGGCAGATGATAGTGGAGGCACTCCTGTTGATGGTGGGCTCTTTCTACTTAGGCACTCTGTTTTGAAACAATGCTCCCATCCACGTCTCTCAAGCATCCTCCTCCTCTTGCTCATCCAATTGCATGTAAGTGTTACTACTTACTAGTACCACATATCAACTAGCAGAGACCTTGACCACCGGAGCCCTTAAATTCTTATATTAATTCTTTCAACGTGCAAACTGACAGTATTGAAAGTAATATTTGAGGAATCTGGTTTCTACTTTGGTTTCATGGAAATATATATACATGTATTACAGCCAAGGAGAATGGAAATTGAATCAGATATATACAAGATAATTATCCTTGTCATTATTACAATATATATAGATCAAATCAGAAATATAGTATTGACTGAAGGATCAATCAGTGATGCACTATTGAATAGCAAGAATCTCGCTCAATAGCAAGAATCTCGCTCAATCAGTAGTTATTTCCTTGATACGCCCCCTCAAGATGGAGCTCCCATCGGTGACTCCAATCTTGCTTTGGAGTTGAGTAAAATGATGCAATGAAAGTGGTTTGGTGAGGCCATCGGCTAATTGATCAACAGTGGAGATATGGCTCACTCGAAGGACCTTGTGATCAACTAGTTCCCGAACAAAATGGAGATCAATTGCTATATCCTTCATCCTGGTATGCATTACTGGATTGCTACTCAGATGGGTAGCTCCAACATTGTCACAGTAAATTGCAGGACATTCAGATACAGGATGGCCAAGTTCATGAAGTAGATGCTTAATCCAAACCAATTCAGAAGAAGCAGCAGCGAGTGCACGGTACTCTACCTCAGTGGAACTGCGAGCAATAGTTTTCTGCTTGCAGGCTCGCCAAGAAATGAAATTGCTACCGAGGAACACCACATATCCAATTGTAGAATGATAAGTGTCCTTGTCACCAGCCTAATCTGAATCAGAAAAAGCATGCAAAGGAGATATTGGTTGCTGACGGAGAAGAGGACCATGAAATAAAGAACCTTTAAGATACCATAAAATCCGTTTCATAGCTTGCTAATGAAATGAACATTAGACGGAGCATGAAGAAATTGAGATAATTTGTTAACGGCAAAAGAGATATCTGGCCGAGTAAGAGCAAGGTATTGCAAAGAACCAACAAGTTGACGATACGATTGAGCATCAGAGAGCTAATTCCCTTGATGTAATTGCAAAGGGACAGTGGACAATGGGGATTGCACAGGCTTAGCATCACTCATGCCAAACTTGGCCAAAAGCTCACGGATGTATTAAGCTTGTGACAGAAGGAGACCAGCATTGGTAAAGATAGCATTCACACCAAGAAAATAATTGAGGCAATCCAAATCTTTGATAGAGATAGTGGCACCCATTAAGGAAATAATTGATTCAACTAGCTTCTCGATACTGCCCGTAACAATAATATCATCAACATAAATTAAGAAATAAACCCATTCTGACTAATAATGAAAAATAAACAGGGAAGAATCAGACCGTGAGTTCACAAATCCATGTTGAAGTAGAAATGTTTTGATCTCTTTGTACCAAGTACGAGAAGCCTATTTGAGACCATAGATGGACTTACGAAGGTGACAAACATGCTGGGGCTGAGAGTTATCAACAAAACCTGGTAGTTGCTCCATAAACAATTCCTCTTCTAACTTCCCATGCAAAAAGGCATTATTAACATCCAACTGATGAATAGGCCAGTGTTTATTCACAGCCAACAAAAGCACTGTACGAATTGTTGTAGGTTTGATCACCGGGCTAAAGGTATTTAAGTAATTGGATCCAGGTCATTGGTGAAATCCTTTAGCCATAAGACGTGCTTTGTATCTTTCAATACCACCTTCCTTATTCCGTTTGACACGGAACACCCATTTACAGCCAATGACATTTTGAACATCAGTGCGAGGAACAAGTTCCCAAGTACCATGTTTAACCAAAGCATTAAATTCATTAGACATGGCATGACACCATTAAAGATTTTTCAAGGCTTGACTTACACAAATGTGTTCAATCGAACTATCGAGATGGTGCTTTGTGGCAAGGAATAGAGTTCGAGGTTTAAAGATATTATTTTGAGAACGGGTGGTCATATTGTGAGTTCGTGTAGGTCTAGTAGGGTGAGGAACAAACATTGTAGGTGAAGAAGGGGAATCGAAGGAGGTAATAGAGGTACTGGACGAAACTTGTTGGACCAGGGATGAGTGAATGGAGGGCAAATGGGCTCGATTAAAGCCATGAGTGAAGGATAGATGTTCTAGGTGGGGTCCGTTGGAGGCAAGAGGGGCTGGGGTTGAAGGATTCAAAGATGTGTGGCTTGGGTCCTTGACTGTGGGTAGGTGGGAGGGCTCACGGGTATCAGATGGAGATGGAAAATTTGTGAGACATTGGACCATAGGAGGAAAAAAAGGAAGAGAGATGATTAGTGGGAGAATTTAGCTAATGGTCATGTGGATGGGCCACACCATAAGAGCATGCTTGAGGGCTAGCAATGTCTGGTGGAGAAATAGTGGCTAACTTGGATGGGCTAGTAGAGGATTGAGTGCCACCATCTGCGACTGAGTTGTGGGATTTTTGGTAAAAAAATCATGCTCATCAAAGACAACATGTCTGGAGTAAAAGACCTTTCCAGAAATGGGATCAAAGCATTTATAACTCATATGATCAATAGAGTAACCTAAAAAGATACACTTACAAGATCTTGGTTGTAATTTATGAGAGTTGTATGGGTGCAACCATGGATAACATGAGCACCCAAAAACTTGAAGTTTGAGGTAATTGGGTTTAATGTGAAATAATTTTTCAAAAGGTGAACATAAGCTAGTAGAACTTGGAATCGTATTAAGTAAATAAACAGTAGTGAGAAAAACATGACTCCAAAATTTTAAAGGAAGAGAAGCAGTTTGCAAAAGGGCTAAACCGGTTTCAAGAATAAGACGTTTCTGACGCTCACTTATACCATTTAATTCTGGTGTGTAGCGGGGTGTGATGAAGTGAGAGATTCCTTGAGTTTGAAAGTAGTTTTTTAATGAAAGAAACTCACCGCCAACATCAGAGTTAAAAGATTTAATTTTTGTTCCAAGTTGATTTTCGACAAGAACATGAAATTTTCGAAAGAGTGGTACAACATCAGATTTCCTCTTAATAGGAAAAAGTCAAACATAATGACTAAATAAATCAACAAAAATTACGTAATAAAGGAAGCCATCCATAAAAGGTAATGAGGCAGGGCCCCACACATTAGAATATATTATTTCTAAAGGTTTATTGCTAGAAATAGATGATTTGCCAAATGGTAATTTATGATTCTTTGCACACAAGTAAGACTCACATAAAGTAAATCGAGATCGATCTAAAATGGGTAATTTAACATGGTAGAAAATTTTATTGAGAGTTTTAGACGAAGGATGACCCAATCTTGCATGCCAATCCATAATAGATGCTCTTTCTCTAACCATTGCCATTGGACCCATCTTAGGTGGACCTTGGGCAGCTAGGCCGTACACACCATGATGATTGTGCCCTTGAAGAAGCGTCACTCCCATGGTGCAATCCTTCACAACAAAAAAATCATAATGAAATTCTACCAAGGCATTGTTATTTTGGCATAGTTTAGAAACTGAAATTAAATTTTTAGAAGCACTTGAAACACATAATATATTTTTCAAGAGTAAAGGTTTTGTTTTGGTTTGAATTGTGGATTGTCCCGCATGTGAGATAGTCAAACCTGATCCATCCCCAATAAGCAGCTCATATGGTCCACCATATTTCGAATGTAATGCAAGGTTAGACAAGTCTGGGGTAACATGATCAGATGCACCTGAATCGATCCACCATTCACTTCTTGCCTTACAAGATGTGGATGCAAAATTTGCCACATGTGCATGATTCCTAAGATCTGGGCAATTCCTAGCAAAATGGCCAAAGCCATTACACAATTGATAGGCAAAATTATTACAATTATTGTACTTGTTGATTGAATTTCGTTGACCACCCCTACCATGATTGCCCTTGTTTCCACGGTTCACTAGACCATTAAATTGCCAATTTGAGCTGCCAGATCTAGTGGGGTGATTGGATGAAGGTCCATAAGAATTGAAGGAAGTCAACTGCACACTGTTCATAGCATTGTGATAGTCACCATTAAACTTAGGAGTAGCGGTTGCAAACTGCGCCATCAATGGGGCTTGCAATTCTTGGCGAGAATCTTCTCACTGTAGAGACTCTTCATATGCCAACAATTTGTCCTGCAAATCTTCAAAAGACAATAACGATCGATCTCACGCTTGTATCGATGCCTTGAACTCGCGATACTCTAATCAGAGACCATTCAAGAAATGCACTTGTATTGTTGAATTGGAGAGGGGTGTTTTCTTAGCACGGCTAATATGATCAATAAGCTCTTTGATCGTACGCAAATAGTCAGTGATTGCTTTGCTTTCACACTTGAGATTCGACAATCGTTCCTTGAGTGCCACAATTCTGGTTTGAGAGTTATTGGCATAAAGTCTTTCCAGCACAATCCATGCTTCATGGGCGGTTTCAGTACTGGCCATATATGGGTGAATAGATTCAACAATTGAAGTCAAAATTGCATGTTGAATGGATTGATCTTGTCTACCCAAATATCATAGGGTGAATCTGGAGTGGGATCTACAGGTGGACATGGCCTCGTTCCCAACAAGAACTCGTACAATTCATAGACTTTGAGCAGTGAAATAAATTGCCTACTCCAACTTGAGTAGTTATCAGTAGTGAGTTTCACTGGAAACTGAACAGCAACGTTGAAGGTGATGACATTGGTTGAATTGGTGTTTGGGTTGCCAACAGTTGGAGCGACAACAATTGCTGGACTGGTGATGGTAGTCTTGCCTGAGTCGGTTGAGGGGCTCTGGTCGGCCATGGTTTCAGGATCAAAGTTGTTTTCAGAGAAAAAGAGGCTCTGACACCATTGACAGAGTATCAAAAGTAATATTTGAGGAATCGTGCTTTCTACTTTGATTTCATGGAAATATATATACATGTATTACAGCCAAGAAGAATGGAAACTGAATCAGCTATATACAAGGTAATTATCCTAGTCATTATTACAATATATATAGATCAAATCAGAGATATAGTATTGAATGAAGGATCAATCAGTGATGCACTATTGAATAGCAACAATCTCGCTCAATAGCAACAATCTTGCTCAATCAGTAGTTATTTCCTTGACACAAACTTGGTGGGAGGATGACATTTGGTTGCCTTAAACAAGTGGGTCACTAATGGAACGGGACGACACGAATGCAATACAAAAATTTGCAGATTTTTCAAGAAACCTTAATGTAATAGTCTTGTTCTTTCATGTAAGTACTGTTACTCGTGCCATATATCAACTGGCATGTAAGGTAGCACTCTTAACGGAGTCTGTTAGCAAAGTCAGTCTTTCTTCTCCAAGTGAAAGGAATGGAAAAGGAACAAGAGGAAAATGGCTTAGGCCAACTATAGTTTATCTCCGTGTGACATGATTATTTGGCTTTGATGACAAACAAATAGAATAAGATTCAACAGAGAGGAATCTTTTCAAGTTTGAGGCCTAGATTAGATTTTTGTGTAAATTCTTGTACTTGTATGTACTAAATACCATTTTTGGCTTCTGCTTGAAACCTCAAAGACTGGTAAAGCAATCCATGGAAATGGAACTATAAGTTGTAGACCATAAAAGTACTGTTTGAGAAAATCCCCGAAATGTTTGGTTTAGCTCATTTATCGTTTAGGATTACCTTGCCACGGGACTGTAACCATTACCAGCTTTGTAAAGTTATGCAGTTTAGGTGTATTATAACTTTTGAAATCTCCGCATGTTTCTAAATATTGTAAATTTCTCATTCTTAATGCTAAACTGCATCAGCTTGTAAAACTTTTTTCATGATAGTACTGAACTGTATTACAAAGTAGAAACTCACTGTTATTTGGATTTTGGAATTGCTGGTCCTATTCCCTGCGTACACATTTTCTCCTTATGTGGAATGCATGAGTCTGATCAAGGCTAGAAAACAAATAGGAAAATCAGTCCACAACATGGAAAGAGGTATCATGGTGAATTTCAGTGTCAGGCCTGTATCAGATGCTTGTAAGTCCTGTATCCAGATACTTGGATGAATTAACAGTTAAGACTTAGGGAGTTGATCCACCTTTGGTATGCTGCTACTCCAGCTGCTTGTTTATATCTTTAGTTACAGCTCTTTGTTTATGTCATGGTTTTATTTACACTGAGTTTCTCTTTCATAGTGCTTTAAGAGCACAAAGAAAACAGTTTGAATGCACTCAATTGTGGAGAAATCTGCACATCTTATAACTAGGTCGTCTAGGTTCCATGCCTATTTGCATGAATATAATGAAGTGTCTTATCCCTACGCTACAGAGCTTATGAATGGACTTTGCGTTGGTTAAATTACTTACTATTTGAGGTTTGCTAAATGCCCTTGCTTGTAGAATCAGAATGTGTGTATCTACTCTGTTCTTTTCTAATCTGTTACTGCACTTTCTCAGGCTGTTCTTAGGATCTTTTTTCCACTTGCGTTGTCAACTTATAATTTTCTTATTCTCATTCTTTAATGCATTCAGGTAAAGCAACATGACAACTTATGAAACTGTTGACCTGCATTCTGTAGGAATTGTTCAAGTTCTGGATGTTGGTTGTGGGGTTGCCAGCTTCTCAGCTTATCTTCTTCCTTTGGTTATACAAACAATGCATTTTGCTGCCAAAGTCAATCATGATAGGTAATCAGAGTCAGTTTGCACTTTAGAGCATGGATTTGGTTCAATTATGTATGCCTTGGTGCAATGTGCCTCAACTGACTGCCCTTTGAATGTGGTTCTTTTTTGTGTGTCTATACTCTAAAAAATGCAAAAGGCAAGTGATTCAATTAACCTCAAAACTCCCACAAAAGGGTACAAAATCTCTGCTGGCGCTCCCCAGTGTGTTTACAACTCAAGTGTTGGGTGTCTAGACTCTAGAGTGTTCATTTGGTCATATACACTTTCTAAACTTACAGTTTATAAAACATTCTTGTTGTCATTTATATTTCCTGTTACATTAATTTCAGGTATCACTACGTAGAGAGGATTTTGATCTAGACACTAGGTTTTGGCAAGAGCAGGTCCTCCATTACTGGAAAACGGTACCGAAGCAAGAAATCTAAGACATGAATGCTTTTGTTGGTGGATTTGCTGTAGCTTTGAACAAATTTCCATGTTTGGGTGATGAATATACTTCTCCTATGTAGTAGGCACTCTAAGTCTTCAGGCAATGTAAAGATCTCATCTGCTGCGTTCTTGTTTATTTCGTTATGTGATATGATTTTTTCTGCAAGCAACAGATGAAATGGATTATAACCCAAGCCTAAAATGGGGATGAGAGAATTCTACAATGGTCCGGCCCAGAAGTGATAGCAGAATAGGAATAATTATGTTTATACCCTTTTGATTAATACTAGTTCAACTTTAATTATCCTACCTTTCTAATTTGAGGCATGTTTACTCTTTAATTTTAAAATGTTATTTAATACATTTGTTTTTATCTTATTATTAATATATATAATAAACACAATTATTTAAATAATAATTAATATATGAATAAATATGAAATATCATCAATTAATTATTTTATCTTATTTTATTAGTGAAAAAAAAGTAGTTAACTCAAGTTGAAAGAGAAAATAATAACTAATAACCAAGGTTTTTAAAACCGGACCGGACCGG